AATAATAATAACAATAATAACAAATAACACGCAAGCTTTCCTCGTATACCTCTTCTGCCTTCCTCTTCTGTCAGTTTCCACTCTGTTGGTGTTGGCACCTGCAGAGAAACATAGCCTCAATGTGTCAATCGAAAAAAAAGAAAAAGAAAGAAAGAAAAAAGAAGGAAAGAAAAGGAAAAAGAAATACCAATGTAAAAACTCCTGAAACCAAAGAAACAGAAGAAGAAGAAAAAGGAGAAACAATATAAAAAATAATAACAATAATAATAATAATAATAATAATAATAATAATAATAATAATAATAATAATAATAATAATAATAATAATAATAATAATAATAATAATAATAATAATAATAATAATAATAATAATAATAATAGTGACGGTTGATGCACCACCTCCGGGTGTACGCAAATATTTCCACATATCACTACGATAAACAGTAGAGAAGAAAAAAAAAAAGCACATAAGAAAGGATATAGCGAAGAAAAAACAGGAAACTAACACAACATTTTAATACTCCATCACTTCTCATCATCCTCCTTCCTCTTACCGTGACCGCCAAAAATCCCAGACAGTTCGATGCTCATTCTCTAGTCGGTGTAATCGTGAAAGCACGAGTCCACTGACAGGAACATAGTCTGACAATCCCTCCGGTGCACCCTCCTGCTGCATGGACACGGGCAAAGTCGTTGCTGCAGTCTCATCCATCTTGTAAATAGTATGGAGGTAATTCAAGTCATCCTGCAATGCCTTCACAATACGGTCGTACCTAGCACGACGCTCGTTCCACTGCACAGAGTCACCATGCTGTTGTTCTCGCCTAATAAAATGATTCAGTGGAGGCCACACGTTTTGCTGCGCCACTTGCAGGAGCTCACTAGCGGAATTCTCCAGCGGGGTTAGCGACTGGCTCCAGACAGCGCGTAAAACAGGACCCAATAGAGACTTTCGAAGAGTACTTCCCGGTCTGAAATATTCCTCCAAACAATGTCGAAGTACTACAAGATTTTCACCTATTGCCCTCATATTTTCCGGTCGTACATCCAAGTAATTAAAAGGAATACAATTGGCCCTATAGACTGACTCTTGTAGAGTGGGTAAATCATAACTTCCATTATTACCACCACCATTATTATTACTACTACTCTCGTTCTGAGTAATTTCCTTAGTACTATTCTTCTCTTGCGTTTCACCCCTATTACCTGGAGGTGGTGATGGTAGTCTCGCCATTATCGTACTCTTTATAAAGGAAGCTACACCACTACTGAAACGTGAGGAGCCACCTCCATAGTTTGAGGTTAAAAAACGGTCAACATCCGTCTCTATACGAGTTAAGTACTGCTCTGATGTCTGCTGTTTCACAACGGAGTATTTCTTGAATCGTTCTTCCAACACTTGAAGAAGAACCTCCACCTCCTTTTCTGTTAGGGCGTCCAGCTTATCCCCAGTACTAGCATCATTAGACTTATCTGTGTTCTTTTCCTCGGAAACATTTGCTGACGGGAGTGGTGGTGGTACTGTTTTTTCATCTCGTTTATTTGCAACATTCAGTTGTGATCGCTGTGTCTGAAGTGAGTCTGATGTTGTTTGTACTGTGTGAATGTGTGGAGTGTCTATGTGTGATGGAATGATATGGGAGCTTCCTGGACAAATCTCGTAGAGGCCTGTGCAGCGCACGAATAAAGGCACCGGTCTAAGAGAGTCTGCTGGGTTGGACGGCAACACCACAATAGGGGGAAGCTCACCCAGCATTTCTTTTTTTTTTTTTTTTCGCCCACCTGCTTCCCCCTTTTATCCCAGTTTCCCTAATGGATATATATATATATATATATATATATATATATATATATATATATACCCACAACAATAGCAGCAAAAATATATCAACAACAAGATTGTAATAATTAATATACCTTAATGATTTCCTGTGCCACCCGCTGTACTATTTCAGGAGCTGAAGCGTACTGGGGTACCATTCCAAGACAAGATACATGAGCCAGAGGTAAAGGATTTGTATACCGGAGTGCGATAACGTCCCAATCTAAATATCGCCGAAGTGCTGCAGCAATTGATCGTGACAAACGTTTCAAAGAGGGATCTACATCCTCTTGTATCATTGTATTATTCTTATATTGATACAAATCATTTAATGTGTGTGATGGTGTTGCTGTCGTCACTTCCTTCTCCAATCGAGGCAAGTGTATTACAGCCGAATAACAACTGTGATCGTCTGCAAATTCGGCAGCACAAGGAAGGTCCTTAGGATCAGTTCCAACAATACGAACCCTATCGCGTATCGTATCGCTAAAAAGTAAGGAGGATGTTGCAAACCCAACCATTATATCTTTCTGCGTGTTTGCAAAGAGTGTTCGTCGACGAAAAAGGCGTAGCGATGCGAGATGTCCACTATTGATGAGTCGCACCGTCAAAACTTCATCGTTGTCCTTTAAAAGAAGTTCTTCCACTGATGCTGCACATAACCTGCCAAGAATCCTTGCTCCGTAGTACATGGGGGAAATCATACACTCATCCACACCACAATGCGGGGTGGCGATGGTAATAAAGTTTTCCAATGTGATATTGAATTGGATAAACTTTTCACGCACCATCTTTACTGAGTTAAACAAATCCTTTCCACAATCATTAATATCCTCTGTTACCAGAAGGAGATAGAGTAATTCACGCATTATTATACCCCCAAAAGAGTGTCCAACACACGAAAAACAAAGTCGGCAATTCTCCTTCTTTTTTTTAACCTTATCTATCCAATCACTAAACACAGGCAAAAATTCTTCAAGTGATTTACAGGCACAACTGCAGGTACTCTGGCGTGTGCCCAGGAACTTATTGCTGTCTGGGGCAAAACTAGTGAGATTACCCCTTGAAAGGAGACGACCACCATATTTGTTATTATTATTATCTGTCGCCTCAAAGGGAAAGTCAGAAGCCGATGATTCCCCTCCTTCACCCTCTTTATAGTCTTTATTATAACATTTCTCATTCTCCTGGAATAGATGAATCAAAAGTCCATTGAAGTCTGATGATGCTCCCCAAAAACCATGCTGAAAGAGAACAAAATGATAGAATTCACTCTGATCAATGACAGACATATCAAAATGGTGTGAGTTCTTTTATTCTTTTTTTTTACTGTATATATATATATATATATATATATATATATATATGTGTGTGTGTGTGTGTATTTTACTTGTCTCCCCAATTTTCACTCCCTTTTCGTTTGAAACATTACTTGTCTCAAGAGTGAAGAGTGAAGAAAGCAAATGTGATTGCATCAAGGAAACAAGGAAAAGCGAAATAATGTACAATTGCCCTATTGCGTGGTAGCAGAAATGAATTAACTAACTCACATCAAGCTAAGAAATGAAATTAACTGTCTTTCTTTTTTTTTTTTCTTTTTTTTTACAATATTGTAGAAACACGATGATGGTAATTAATATTGAGGAAAACACAATTGATCAGACAAATACAAAAACATCCGCACAAGATATACTTTTTTTTTTGCATTTTGTCATCTCATATTGGTTCCTAGTTTAAACGCGGTGGTAACATATGGTGCATTCGAACTCCTGCACCTCATCCATATCCCAAGAAGAAGACCCAATGGGTGGCACGGGTCTCAAATAACCATGTGCATCACAGGCATCACAGAGTCGTACTCCCGGTGCAATAACAGTGGTAGTATTATTATTATTATTATTATTATTATTATTATTATTATTATTATTATTATTAGTAGCAGTAGTAGTAGTAGTAGTAGTAGTAGTAGTAGTTCCATTACTTGTATTAGTAGTGGTATTAGTAGTGGTATTAGTAGCAGTAGTAGTTGATGTGGTGGTGGTGGTGGTGGTGGTGGCACATCCGTGACAGCGTTCACATTGGCAGTAAAAGCGATAGGAGTCAAGCAGAGTACGGCGACGCTCTGCCGTTGATTTCTCCTCAACATCCACGTAACATATTGTGAGGGGTTCTCCTTTACGAATCTTTCGAAGGGCATAAAATGCGGCCAGACGTCCACGACATTTTACACGGCAAATATTTGGAAGACAACTGTGGTTAAAGTACGACGCCTCTGGGTAAAGAGCGACACCCAAACATTCCCCTTTAGGATCAAATAAACCAAAACTATTGCATTGCGCTGCAGCACTAATACGATTAAAAAAAGAAGAAGAAACTTTGAGTGTAGAATCTGTGCTCTCATTACCTCCATCCAACCAAGGAAGTACAAGTTTTACAAATCGACGATAGTAGTTTCGGAAGGTACTTCGTGATTCTTTATTCAATACGGAAATATTTGTAATGAGTTGAGCTGTATCAAACCAACGAGGGTCTCGAATAGCGTGTGTTGGTTCTTTACTTGTTCCAATACCTACCACTGTGTGATTACTTACAGAGATAAGAAGCTTTGGTTCCTCAGAAGTTTCTGCACTATTATTATCATTATGTTCACGTTCAACAGCTTTTGAATCCAGTACCTCTATCATAGTACCACTTCGTACACGTGATGCACGAATCATCTTTACCTCGTTAGGTATAGTAGAGTCCAAAGTAAATGAGACTCTTGCGTTTCCTGTAGCTGATAAATCTTTTTCAGTAGAAACTGATGAAGTACCTTCTTTTCTTTCAGTACTATTATTATCACTTTTAGTGGAGCTTTCATTGGTATCTTCTGAAACAATATTCTCTTCTTCTCCTTCTGACATATGACTTGCATAACCATCCTTTACACACCGTGCCACTAACAGAGCTGCGAATAGTAATGACTGTATTTCCCATGCTGTCTCCTCACTGGTTCTCTGGAGCCAGTGCTTTACGCTCCACGAGTCTAAAGATAATTGTCCTGTCGGTACTTTCTTTTTGTTGTCTCCCATACGTGCTGAAAGTGCTCTCATAATAGGTGGATATACACTTCTTAAGGTTTCGCAAGCACCTGTCGTTTTGTGTATCTCATGAAATTCTATCCAGCACTCCTTCGAGCAGTACACAACCACACCGCAACCGGAGCATCCACAGATACCTTGATTTAACACATCTTCAGGAAGATCTTTCTGTTCTTCTATTATACGTTCTGGCCATGATAACTCTTTTAGATCCTGAAATTGCATTATCTTCATGTGATTTTCGTACATGGCCGCTTCACGTTGTGCTGTAGAAGCCTTTAACATTTTTTGTTTCATATCAATATACTTTTTTGAACGCATACGAGTAGACTTTGTAGGTTTTTGCAATTCTTCTTTTTTTTTCTTATCAATATCATCCTCAGCACCTTCTCCCTCTTCAAGAGTACTGTGAATTTTTTCACCTGATGCTTCTTCTTCTTCTTTTTGCCGTTGTCTTTCCTCACGTTCGGCGTGTTCAATTACGATGTCATCAGAAACCTGCTTAATAGTCTCATAGTTTAAAAAAGCCGTACCCACCGGAATGCGTTTCAGACAATTGCAACACAATGTTGAAGTTGAAATCAACGGTATATAGTCATTTTTATCTGATACAGGTAATGATTTACCCTTCTTTTTAGCCTTTGTTGTTTGTGTCTTTGTATTTTCTGTGCGACCCGAGACAGTCTCCCACTCTCCCACCTTGGACACGATATGCATTGCGCTGGGGGTCCTATTGGGATTTAATGAGACAACGTACGGGGCAGCTACAAATACCAACTCACCTGGAGAGATATCATTCTTGGCAATTGCATATCGCCCAGCGTCATCCTGCTGCTGATCAGAGGACTGTGTACACTCCACCAGACGGTCTTGCGGTGCCAAAAACATCTTCCCACTGATGGGGAGTCAAGAATATATATATATATATATATATATATATATATATATATATATATATTTATTTATTTATTTATTTATTTATTTATTTATTTATTTATTTATATTTATATATTTATCTCTCTCTTTCTCTCCCTGTGTATATGTGTGTCTGGGTAGGAAGAGGAGAATAGAGGGAACGGAGGGTTCGACCTTCCTTACCCAGGTGTGCTTCGTCCTTCTGGAGGTAATGCACTCAATACCAACTGTAAAAAAAAAGAAAAAATAAGAGGGAAAAGGAAGAAAAAAAAAAAGACAGCGATAATATTGCTGAACATGCATTCAAACCAATAAAAAATAAAAGCAAGATATCTGGTTGCTAAATCAGGCTTAGACACCTGTCTTCTTTATTCTTTTTGTTTTTGAGTAGTCTCAATCCAACATGAGACGCTTCTTCCAATGTTTTTCTCGATAAGCCCTCACATGATCTGGGAGTTCCTCTACTCCCTCAATTCGATAAGCGTACAACTTACTACGTGGTGATGTATCCATCTGTCTGACCATGTTCAGTAGGTACTGCGGGTCACCTTCCCACAATGGTCGACCTGTATGGTAGTAATATCCACCAAAAGCACCTAACAAAAGTGAAGGAATCATCATAAATGCAGTCCATTTAATATGAGCACGACGGAATTCATCTGGGTGATAGCGATATTCTCTATGAATTCGTTCACTCATGTTTTCTTTATCACCCTTCGTCATAGCATCAATACTCCACGAATCCCGCAGCTGTTGCATTCCCCATGGGGCACGTTTCTTTACCTTGATCTCCGGTGATACCCTTCTCGTTGTTTTGTACGTCGCCGATGATGATCCAGCGTTGCTGGAACGATCAGTTTGTTCTGATCGCTTGTTGCGAGGGGATGCGGTGTATTTTTTATCATCATTACCACTCTGGAGATCTTGTGTTTTGCCAGGAACAGCTACAACTTCAGAAGAAGAAGAAGACGATTGTGATAATCCTTTCTTTTGTGAAGTATTTTTTCCAACAGTGGTATAAAACACACGTGGTGGGCATCGATAGTTTGAGCTATTAAATAGTTTCTCTGCGGCACAATGCACACGGAGCATACTCTCACAGAGAGGGTCTATGACTAATACCACAACAAACCACCTTTGTGCTTCACAGTAAGCACTCCGTTTTTTTTTTCTTTTTTTTTTTTTTTTTGGTGGTGATGGTGAGTGGGAGGGGAGTGTTTGTGTGTATGTGTTTGTTTTCTTTTTTCTTCACTTTATTGTCTCAGTACACAAAAACAATAACACTTAAAGTACAGATAAGGCAAGAGAGGGGCGATGGTTTTCTTTTTATTTTTTTTTTCTTTTTTGTTTTTTTGGCATTCCCTCACGCCTTCCTAGTTAGAGAACCAGGAAGCATAAAAAATAAAATAAAAAAAACAAGATAAATTGTGAGAAATTTACCATATCAATATAATAATGACCTCAAGGAGAATTCAACCCGGAAACGCGACGAAAGGAAAAAAGACACATCCACGTGAAAAAGAAGAACGGAGGAAAAAGAACAGATAAAAAAAAAAAAAAAAAAAAAAACAAGGCAAAGAGGATACTAATCACCCCTACTCAAGTACCTTGTAAGGATTTAAAACACCATTTGGATCCATCATTTGTTTTAGATTTTTCATTACTGCAATAACCTCCGGTGTACGGGAGAGACCAAGGTAGGATTTCTTCTGCACTCCAACTCCATGCTCAGCAGAGATTGAACCAGAGTGTGCTGCGCAGAACTCATACACAGCTGGAAAAAGTTCGATGTCTAGTGCCTCACTGTGTTTACGTGTACGATCCACAATATTAAGGTGAATATTTCCATCACCAAAGTGACCGTATCCCACAACTAACACTTCATCAGGGTTAAATTTCCCATTCTTGTATAGTAACTCTCGGAAGTGCTCCACTACCATATAAAACTTATCTAGTGGGAAACTAATATCAAATTTGTATGTTGTGCCTGCGCTGGCAAGTCGTACAGGAACGTCCTCACGTACTTTCCATAATTGTGCAGTTTGCTTCAATGATTGTGAAAGAATTGGTTCAAAATTCTCATTTTGATTATTTTTTACAGCACAGAAGGGATTCGCTTCAGCTGCCTCTACAAAATTTGCAAGTTTCTCCATATCATGATCTGCATTACTACCATTTGTTTCTACTAGAACAGCAAAATATGCACTACTGTAATCTTTGCCTGTACGAAATATATTATTCTTGTTTGTTTTGGTAAAAGGTAATTCCTCTTGTGGGGTAGTAGTAAGTGACTCACCATCCATAACCTCAAAAGCAGAGAGAGACTCTGCAAGGTGTTCTTGAGCAAGACGATAAAGCTCCAAAACTGCTTCAAATGTTTGGAGACGAAACAATGCCAATTGTGCTGAACAAGGGTAAGGAAATAATTTTATACTTGCACGAGTTACCACCCCAAGAGTACCTTCACTCCCAATAAAAAGGTGTTTTAAGTCATAACCAGCATTATCTTTTCGAAGGGTAGACATCATATTAAGAATATCACCCTTTGCAGTAACAACTTCAAGTCCCAATACATTTGCGTGCATAGACCCATAACGTGCAAAATGAATACCACCAGCATTAGTGCTAACAGTCCCACCAATCTGTGCACTTCCCTTTGACCCCATTGTGAGTGGAACGAGGAGACCATTAGTCTTAGCAACATCCTGTAAATGTTGTAAAATAACACCCGCCTCTGCTTCTGCAGACATCGTCTTTTTTGAGACAACAGGTTCTGCGTTCATTTCTCGCAGACTTAGGATAACTTCATCGTGAAGAGCGGAGGAACCATAGACTAACCCAGTATTTCCGCACTGTGGTACAATTGCAATTTTTTCTTCTTGGCAGTATTTCAATATGGCAGACACATGTTGAGTACACGTTGGAAGAAGAACTGCCGGACACTCTCCTTCCACTTGATTCATCCAATCCCTATTAAAGGGTGCTATCTTGTCAGGTTGTGTTAATATCTTACCCACGGTTTTTCTATTGGGGCACGGTTCTTGTAGAATGCTATTAAAGTATTCAAGATGCTTTGGTTGAAGTTTTACAAAATTTACATTACGCTTGGCGTAATGTAGCGCTCGCTGACGGGCTGCTGAAAGGACTACCATCAGAAACAAGGAACACACACTACCGAGAAAGCAAGAAAAAAAGAAAAAAATGAAAAAAGAAAAAAAAGAAGAAATAATTTCTTAAAAGAGATAGGAAGAAGAAAAATCAGAAAATAATACAAGAGAATATAGAAAAAAGAAAAAAACCTCAACAACTCGGTGTTTAATATAAGGGCAAAGAAGTTGTGTCACTAACGTTATTCTTCGTAAGCATGCCGTTGAAAAACGTGAAGTTTCACTGTACCAAGTCATACCCTCTCTCTCTCGCATTGCTCGATAAGGCAGTTCGATCAAAATAATAGGTTTTACTTGGCCACTTTCCAAAATTCACTAGCGATGACTCCCAGCACCCGTTATGTATCCTCTTGTATCATTGTATTATTCTTATATTGATACAAATCACTTAATGTGTGTGATGGTGTTGCTGTCGTCACTTCCTTCTCCAATCGAGGCAAGTGCATTACAGCCGAATAACAACTGTTATCGTCTGCAAATTCGGCAGCACAAGGAAGGTCCTTAGGATCAGTTCCAACAATACGAACCCTATCGCGTATCGTATCGCTAAAAAGCAGGGAGGATGTTGCAAACCCAACCATTATATCTTTCTGCGTGTTCGCAAAGAGTGTTCGTCGACGAAAAAGGCGTAGCGATGCGAGATGTCCACTATTGATGAGTCGCACCATCAAAACTTCATCACTGTCCTTTAAAAGAAGTTCTTCCACTGATGCTGCACATAACCTGCCGAGAATTTACGGTCGGTGGTGGAAATAAAGCGCATTAGGCGTACAATATTTTCTTTTGCGTTTTATTTTTCCAATTTCTGTACTACAGCTATTACAGAAATGGATTAAGGAATGAAAATAAAGAAGAAAAAGCCGTTAAGAAAGCAAACCATAATAAAAAAAAAAGGGGGCAAACCACTCTTATCCTCAACTTTGTTGTCCCTAGCAACATCATTCTCTTTTTTTTTGTTTAGAAAACAGAGTTTTAATCGTCATGTGTCTCTTACAATGTCTAGTTTTGCTTTGTTATTGAGTGGAGTTATCTTTTAATTTCTTATTCCGTCTTTTTTTCATCTTCACATCTTTGGCAGCAACATGTGAAGAAGTACCCCTTTAAAAGTTCATGACGCTTCTCTCGTGTGTTCTCAAGTGGAATATACGTGATGGTGAGTTCTTCCCCATTTTGTATAGGGCGAAGTGTACGAAGCACAATATCATGCGTACCATCTACTGCCGTCACAACTACATTGGGTAAACATGAATGGTTAAATGCAGATTGCAAGGTATACATACCGCCACCTTTCAGAACCCATTCAACAGGTAAAGTGGATGCAGAAGACTTTTCTTCAGCAGGACGAGAGAAGACCAAACCATTAACTGCCTGTGAGTTAAGAGTCATCTGACCCAGTAATGTTTCAAGAGTATCACGTCGTAGTAACGCATCAACAATTTCTTTTGCCCAATCATTATTTTCACATGGTGGTTCCACCGTTGCCTCCAAAAGTGTGGTAAGGCAAGGTTCTCGTAACAAATAATCTATCTCACTATACCAGGCAACAGCATCCACATCACTGAATATAGTACCTTTTGGAGTGTCAATAAGACGGTTAAAAGGTGCAGTTGCCAATTGAAAAATCTGTCTGGAAATGGTTTCAGACTGTTTTTTATGATCTTCCTCTAACATTTTACCACTAAACTTTTGATGTTTAATGGTTGAGGCAATACGGGCTATAATCCAAGCAACACAGCGTGCCAATGACTCTTTTGTGATGGGTTTATTAGAGTTCTTATTCTCTGCGGCAAGAGACTTATTATCATCGTCTTCACGAAGTTTCCGAAGATTATTGCACAAAATGCAGTGAGCAATTTTGCTGGTCGATTCACAAGTCTCTGAGCAAAACATTGAACCGCAACCACATTTGTGCCACGCTTCTTCTTCTTCTTTCTTCTCGTCTGTTTCACTTTTCCTGCCTTGTTGTCTAAGACAATGTGAACAGAAAGGAATGTCAAGAGCCAAATACCCCTGTGCCGGCCATGACACAATGGGTGTCTCTTCAAACAGATCAGTCTGTGCTGGTATATCGGCGGTGGCGACAACATGTTTTCCCTTTTCAGGTGTATTGATAACTTTGCAGGGGACACCCATTTTCTCAAGGGTGAGAGTTAAATACGTAGCCGCCGCATCGGCAGGATCCATGTTTTTTTTTTTTTCTTTTTAAAGAAACTCTATACAATCAGCGAAGATATAGAAAAAAAATAAAAATAAATAAATAAATAAAGGTTTGCTCAACCGCCACAGCAAAATTTACACAATACAATATTGAGAATGTTTCTTCTTCACCTTCTTCTACAGTTTCTTCTTTCCTTTCCATTGTTTAAGTGATATAGTAATAGCGATAAGAAAAGAAAAAAGAAAACAAAAAAAAAACACTCTTTATGAAGGTTATCTTTCCCTTGTATTATCACTTGGGTCCAAGGAAGAAGAAAAGAAAAAGAAAAAATCTTTTCTTTTTTGTTTACCAATTATCAAGAGAGTCATCCCTTTTATGTAACTACAATCCACTTACATTCTTTTACCTCATGTTTGTTTGTTTGTTCTTTTCTTCCCTATAAAAAAATGTTTTTCTTCTTCTATTAATATTATCATTTTGGATCTAGTCCCAATAAAATACGTTGCAACTCCTCTACAGAGTCTGTCTCTTTTAAATTTGGCTGTTCTTCTTCAAGTCCTCTTAGTAACTCTGAAAGGTTTCGAAATCGTCTATTGGCCAGAGTTTTCATATGCAACACCATCGCTCTTAAGTGAAATACCCTGTGTGTCTCTGCCATACGGTTCCACATTACCACCTTGCATACCATTTTCATATCCTCCAATTCATTTTCCTCCTCTTTTATAGTGGAAGTGGGAAAAGATCTTGTTGAACCATCGTGGTGAATTCGACGTAATGCTGCACATAATAGCATTAATTCATTACAAAAACTCATCAAAAAATCCAACGCCAACTCAGATATATATTGTGCATGCCTAAGATTTAAAGGGTCTGTTGGGATTCTAACATAACGTAAAGCAGCAATACAAAGACTCTCCAGGACAGTAGCATATCGCATAAAAAGTTGATTAACATATGGTACGTTCGTAACAAAATGATCTGGATTCTGTAAAACACAATCTTCAACTTCATCTGTAGCAGCAGACTCTGTTGATTGTTGATCATTCACAGGTAAAGAACCATCTTCTCCAGGGACATAACCACGCAAAATAGAACTAAAAATATCTTCAGCTTCTGCAAACGTGCTTGAAATATCCATTTGAACACTTTCTGTTACCAATGGAGAAGTAATTTCTATATCAACAGTAGTATTTCTTTGTGATACTAAAGGTCCACTCTGACTACGTTGTATTCCAGAAGACCATGGAACATACCCTCCATCACACACATTAACTGGTACAATGTATAAAACAACTTGTGGATCTTCCCATTTAAGACGTCTAGCAAAAAGAGCTGATATGTAGCATGGGGCTGTATGTCCATTACGGAATAAACCAGTTACATCAGATCCACGTAGGTAAAAACATAAATGAAATTGAACGGATAATTCTACTTCATTACATTCTGTAGGACCTATTAGAGGTTTCCCATCCATTAAGATAGCAGTTAAGTGAACATGAGATGATTCTTCCAGGTTTGTTGGTAATGTTACTAGGTTCTCTAATATAGGGAGAAGTGTCTCCACGGCAACAGCTCGCCAAAAAGCTTGAACCGAAGCGAATGAGTTTTCCCAGATAAAAGGATTAATACACCGATATGGAATACAAAGAACCTGACATTCAGTAGATGTAACAATCCAAAGATTCATTTGATTTTCAAATAATTTTGATGGTGTAACAAAAGCTTCAAGACCAATAATGCATCCAAACCCTCTTACATCTTCATGAGCAGCTGTCCAACGACCTCGTTTGGGTTTTAAAGCACCAAAAACAACGACGTAAAACATTTTATCATCAACTTTTATTTCATCACCTTCGTTAAAGTTTTTCGTCATTCCCATAGCGCTTAATACATTGATTTCTTCAAGTTTAAGTCCACGTCCTAACGGTGTCTTTGATAAAGCTGCAACAACTAGTTCATTATCTCGTTTCGGAGCTTCCCATGAACGAGGTATGTCCTCATGCATTTCATGTACCATTTCCTCAAGTACTGCAATAGGTTTAATTCCAAAACCATGATTTTCATGCAATTTTTTTAATTCCTTTTGAATCTCATCCACAGCTCTAAGAACTGTTCGGCTAGTAGCCACACACATTGTAGCTGCTGGATAGTTTGCATAAAAAAGTTGAATGACACGGTGAACTTCTGCTCGTTGTGAAGTCATCCAAGATTCAATACGATGTCCCTGTAGTTCACTTTTCACGTATTGATATTTAATTGGACCTACATCATTTAAACAACGTGCAAATGAAAGTAAAATCATAAAAGCGTTTTGTTGAGCACGTACATGTTCCCACTTCCAATATCTTTTCCCAAGAAAATATTCTGAAACAGATACCCAAAGAGGTAAAAGTTTTTCACCTATTAATCTAGCTTCTTCTTCTTCAGAAATTATATCTTCTGTATAATTCTCTCTTTCTCGTAGATCCTTTACTTCAACAAGTCGCCCATTATCAATAGCACGTGCCACAACTTCTGCAAGAGTAAGAACTACAGTTTCAGATATAAGATCATTATCACGTTGACGCCACATAGAAGTTTTAAATGCTCTCATAATAAGACGATTAACTACAACATCTTCTTCTTCTTCTAAAGTATTCATATCTTCATATGGATTATGAAGATGTTCTTTTACATAATTTTCTGCTGCAGCCCAATTAGCACTACGAAAAAAAGCATTATTTTTCGTCGTTTCAAGTGCTCTTTCACAAACATACCCTAGAAGTTCTACAGCATATTCCATTTGTACCATTCGATGTTGCTCTTTACGTTTATGCCCCATAAGGGCTACAACTTTTTCTGCAGTTGTAGCATTAATAAATAATGTTAAAAGTACCACTCCACAAGTAACCTTTAAAATTTCAACACCTGCTTCAATTCGAGTTTGAAGTACTGCTAAAGCAAGGGTTACTGCTACCCCTCCTCGAAGTCCTGAATGTACAAGCAAACCAACCTCTCGTTGTGATAATCTGTAAGAAAATAGATTAAGAATTGGTAATAGAATTTCTAACATAAGTAAACGTGCCAAAAGCATTGAGATATATATACAAATTATTATAATAATATCCATTATGTTTAGTGTTGGTATAACATCTGCTACTAATATAACACCAACAAGGGAAAACAAAACTGTATTTCCAAGATGTACTAAAAATTCCCATATATCATAGATTAAATTTCCTTCTCGACCTGGAAATATTGAAGGACAGTGTGAACTTAAAAAAGTTCCGGTAAAGAAGAGTGTTAAAACTCCACTTGTACCTAAAATATTTCCTGCAACATAATAAGATACGTACGTAACGGAGACTGTCACACATGCCCTTACTAACCCACCTCCTGCACGACGTAACCAAAATGCTTGCAAAGAACCAAAAACAATTCCCAGAAAAACTGGTAAAATTGCAAGTTGAATACATTTTAAAATTATTACCCATGTAGAATCTTCTACATAACCAACACGTGCTGCTGGTAACAGAAGTTTAAATGCGATAATGGCAGTACCATCATTCATGATAGCTTCACCATCTACCATAGCTGTAATTCTACTGTCAACTCCAAGTCCTTTAAGTAATGATACAACTGCTACTGGATCTGTCGCAGAGAGTAAAGATCCTAATAGTAGTGCTGCATACCATGACCATTCTGGAAAAAACCATGACACAGGTAATGAAAGTAAACCAGTATTGATAATTACACCTACAGATGCCAATAAAAGTACTTGGGGAAAAACACGACGCAACGCATGCACATTCATAGCATAACTTCCCTCAAATATTAACACTGGTAGAAATATGTAAAATAGTAATTCAGGTGGAATATCTCCGAGTGCTGTGGCAACTTCTGGTGCAAACAAATGGGCCCAAAATCCAACAAATATACCGTACAGGAACAAAACCACTGTATAAGGTAAAGGTATTTTTGACATATTCGTCATAAAAAAAGTCCCACCACAAAATATTAACATAACTAAAAATAAAATACCTTGAGAAAGTTCCTCAAACCTCTCAGCTTCCTCAACATCTTCTGATGTGTTCATACTGTTATGTCACGAAAAACCCACTACGTATGATCCACAAAATAGAAAACAAGTGATAGACTACAGAGCTTCTGGAAGTCTCCTACAAGGTCAAAAAAAAAAGACAAAAAAAAACAATTAAATAAAAAATAAATAAATAATTTTAGTTACATCAGATAAGGAGTAAAAATAATAAGTCGAAATGAGGATGAAACCCAACAGCAAATAAAATCAAAGAAAAAAAAAAGAGTGAGAGGCATCAGATATTAAACATAGTTGAAGAGAAAAAGGAGTTATACCTCCTCATGAGAAAGGAGGGGGAAAGTTGATTATGGAAGAAATCAATGGTGAGAGGAGACGAAAAAAATATATATGTAGAGAGAGAGAGAGAGAGTACCCTGGTAATAATGATCTTTAGAGATCTCATTATTGATCTCTTGTTGTTGTTTTTTTTTTTTTTTTGTTACATTTTTTTTTTTGTTTCCAAAATATTGACCTTATTCATAACGGTTGCTCTCAGGATCTACTAGCCTTTCTGGTTTGTCAGCATTGATAGAACTATCTAACATGGGTGCAGAAAGTGGTTGCTTTCCAAACACTCGCGGTTCCTTATCAATTGGCATGGAATACGTATGTGACATTTCCATTCGTTCCAAGTGTTCTTGTATATCAGCAAACTGTACACTAACTTCATCTGGTTCTGTCTCACGTGGTATATTGACATCAAGACCTACAATCTCTTCAGTAATGGTATTTATTTCTTCTTCATTTGCTCCATTTTCAATAAGATATTTCAAAAGTTGATAACGATCTATCATCATTTCATGAAGTTTGTACCGTTTTTGAGCTTTAAAAAAATTTGCAAGTGTGAGAATGATGCGTAAATTTCTAGGTTCTAGTGAAAATGCCTTCTTTACAGCAACTATAGCATCATCTAATCCATTAATAGGATCTTTCTTATGAAGTATAAGTCCTAAAGTTTCCCATGGAGATGCCTCCTCAGGAAATTCTTCTATAGCTTTAATACACAAGTCTTTACCAACGTCCAAGGAATCCAGTGCACGATCTTCAATATACTGAAAAAAAACAGTTTTATAGGTGGGTTCAAAATCTTCAAATAACCCTAGTCGGACTTTTGGTTTTTTATTCTGAGTTAATAAATCTTTTTTTGCACAGTTATTTCGATATAAATTCATAAGTCTCTCACAAACTTTATAACTTTCATGTTTTTCTCCATTAAAACGAAGGGCGGCATGTAGTTTAGAAAGAATTTGAAATTCAAATCTCAAGGAGTCTTCAACCAAGTCATATATTCTTCGTGCCAAAAGCATTTTTAAAAAAGCGATTACCAAACCAATAGTTTTTTCAGACTCTTTGCTCTCACTAGTCTCAAATCTTGCAGAAAAATGTTGCTCATCCATAGATCTGAAAAGAGAATCAATAAAAAGTGATGTGTATTGTGGTCCAAAAACTGATATCATTGGAGATATTGCTTCAAGAAAAAAACGTGAAGTTGAGCCTTCTCCATGTTCATTGTAATGAAAAGAAGCAGATTCTATTATTATATCAGAAAGAAGAATCAACGCCACCTCAACTAACTGAGTACTCTTTGTATCATCTTCAGTACTTAAAATACTATTAATACTCTTACTATCAGTAATCTTTGAGTTTTCTTTGTCTTTCTTTTTTTTCTCGATATCCCATTCAGATAATTTATCAAATAAGATACGAAGTTTTTCTGGTTTTTCTGTACCTGTATAAATTTCTATGAGTGACTCCAAGGCGTCGCAATTTGAATGATCAAAAGAGAGAATTTCCATACACATATTTTCGGCCTCAAGATAATTTCCAAGTCTTCTCATTCCCAAGGCGATAATATACCGTATATGATTACAGTCGTCTTGACTAACTACGACATATTCATTAGATAATATGCTATCATTTGTTTTTTCATCTTCAGTAAGAAATGATTTGGTCAAATGATGTGATGACTTTTTTTCTACTGTACAACCAATTAAATCTATCAACTCTTTTAGAGCTCTGTTAAGACTTTCACAAGATGATTCAAGTTCTTCCCTGGTACTTTTATCGTTTAAAATAGTTGCCTTACATTCTTGAATAACAAGTGTAGTATAACCACTATAGGCTAACTCTTCACGTTTCATCAGTTCTTCTTCCCTTTCTAAAGCATCCAATGCGGACTGGCCTTCAATAGTCAATTTTTTGTACGTTACCATTTGCTTAGGATGATTTGCAGGATCCTGGATATAACCTGAGGGGGTATCAGCCAGTGTATTTTCGGTAATATTACGAAAGGAGATATTTCTTGTCATTTTTAAGGCATTATAACGCCTCTGTAGCATCATGTGTGAAGAGTTTAAAAAAACCCTAGGACACATCATTATGTTTTTTGACCTCTTAATTGTGTCAAAACAAAAAAATCTAAATGAAGAACTTGAGGTACACGTCATTATTGCTCTTTTTTTTTTCTTTTTCCTTTCTCCTTAAGTAGAAACTGGCCACTTTTTAAAAGCCACAACAAGGACGAAAAAAAAAAAAGAAAGCTATTCTCGATAAACCTCTGAACTGATACCCTGGAATAATAATTATTATTATTAATAATATTCTTATACACAGTTGACTTATTAAGAGGTGATGCCTCCTTCCACACGAAAAGGAAAAAAGGGGAGAGAAAAGAAAAAAAAAAAAAGAAGGCGAAACTAACATTCAGAGATCATCATTATAGGTTCAACTGATATTATTCTTTATTTCTTTTTTATCCCTTTTTATCTATACACTTAAGTTGAAGTGTTCATCTGTATGGTATTGATGATGATAAACCCCAAAGGAAAAAAAGGAAAAAATATATATATATATATATATATATATACGCTAACTCCCTGTAGTTAGGGGAGGTAAAGGCATTTCCTCAAAAAATGGAGATACATTGGGAAAATTTCGTGTTTGTGTAACAAAAACTTTATAACTCTGACCCATCTCATCCTTATCCATTAATCTTCGATAGTTCTGTAGAATCTTCATTGCACTCTTAGTCTCTTCATCCTTTATAACATGTGCCAACCTAACATCAATCCCACCCCATTGTAAAAACTCTCGTTGTGTCATAACTGGAAACCATTTTAAATGCCTTCTTGCTGTTTCTAAACGTTCTAATGCCCATCTTAGTTGTTTAAAGCTAACCCAAGATGAGAGATCAACTTCACCAGGAGAAAGTAAAGGATCTACAAATTTGTGACCACGTATACCTCTTAAAGTACTATGCATATGTTCATCTTTTCCATAATCAATAATAAGACATGCAGATTTTTGACAATCAATCATTTTTCTCATTATTATTTCCATATTTTGCATACCTACTGCATTAACTTCTATACAATCTCCTACTTTTCCACTTGAACGAACCTCATTAGGTATGAGATAAGCTGAAAAGGAACCAGATGGAGCATGTACCATATGAAAATGAGCTTCATTTGAGGGATCTTCATCAACTTCCAAACAAGTTTCTACCCAACCTCTTTCTGTAAAACGAAATTGAGCAACCGGTAAAGCATCAAAATATTCGTTAGCTATAAATATTGTAGGTTCTAATGTAAATGGAATAGACTCTAAGCTCATCCACCATTTTATTTTTTGTTGTGAAGTTTGAAACTCTGCAAGTGCATTTTTTTGCTCTTCAGTTCGAGCTGCGCCAACTTCAACAAGATGTATTTGCAGAAAATGAAGTAAATGAGGATTGGAATATTTTATTTGTTTTAGCATATTTTTCATAAGAGTTCCTCTTCCAGGTCCTAATTCAACTAAATGTAGAACCCTAGGAGTTCCCATTTTCTGCCATGCATCCATAACCCAAGCTGCAATAACATCTGCAAAAAAAGGTATTTCTGCAGCAGTAATAAAATCAGCCCTTTCACTACCAATAACATGTTTCTTAGCGGAGTAATATCCATGATGTGGGTGAGTAAGACATTCTTTTACAAACTGTGACATTGGGAAATACCCCTGTGAAGACATTTTGCTTATTAACTCTACACAAAGTGGAGTTTTTAACTCTTTTCTGTTTTTTGAATTAACTGTCGCGCGATCAGGTGTTGATATTTCACTCGCATGTAAACTTGCGAGACGAACTGTGGAACCACAAAATTTAGGAAATAAACTTCTCTTAAGCATATTTTTCTCTCTTTCTCTCTATATATATAAATGTGTATGAATATATATTTTCTAAAAAAAAAAAAACAATATGGTACTCTGATATTTGTTTTTGTTGTGGGTGGGTTCGTTTTTTTTTTTTTTTTTTTTACTTTTACTCCAGTTATGTCTGCAAATATGCACTAGATTCTATAGGTTGAGAAAAAAAAAAGAAAGTAAAATTTTTTTAGAGGGAGCATTTGAAAGAAACGAAGAGGAGAAAAAAAAGATGAAAAACACCCGAAACAGACAGCCAGTCCAAGATCATGTAAAATCCATCTCCCCACGCCAGCAATAAAGCAAGAGAGTCCCCTCCCTACACCGAAACGGTTCCCATGGCCCCAGAAAAGCAGAAAGAAAAAAAAAAAAAA